TGAAAATATTGTCGGGCATAAACTGGTCCGTGGCGCAAAAAAGGTTGGGGACCGCTGTTCTAGAAGCAAGGCCGGTGTCCCTCTGAAAATCTTCCACTCCTTTGTTTGTTACAGTCAGCTTTATAGAAGCGACCCCATCATAAAACCCCCATGGTGTGCTGCAAACAAAAAGTTTGTGTGTGTATGCACCAGTACCTGAGTGAGTGTGCATGTAAGTGTGGGTGCGTCATAACAGTCAAAGCACTGTGTGTGTGTGTCTCTGTATAAGTGACTTCCTGGGGGTCATAAAAGTAATCTCCTCACCCAAGCTACACCAAATTCCTCTAGACAACATACAAAACACAGTTAACATATTACAAACACTGAGACTCCCACTCTGCATCCACTGGGCCATTGGCCTCTTATTGTCTTACATTTACAGATAAGCATGTGGAGAGTCTCCTGCAAACCTGCTTCTAAGTTATAACAATTATGAGTTTTTATTAAAGGTATCAGCATCAGCAATCCCCAACTGCAGCTTCCTGTCTCCTTTTATGACAGCAGACCCCCAGTGTCAATAAATTCCTTTCCCTCTAAACAATTACACACACTTGCAAGCCTACAGCTAAGCCAAACTGAAACACAGACAAATCCTTCCCTATTCCTCTGATCTAAGCAAATAAAACATTATATTGTAATAATTATTTTCTTGTACTCACAAATCCCTCTTTTGATCTGCCCCATGGCAGATCGACAATACACTATAGTCACTTCTCCCCTGTAATATTCAACATTTTCCCAAGAACACACTGTAATAGCATAATCAACAACCCTTTTGTCCTGTCTAGGTGGAGGTTAACCTTGAGTAGTGGTCAAGTCAGTCAAGTCTTGTGAGCTTTTGTCAGCTTTTACCAGTCAGTCAGTTTTGGGTTTTTTGTTGTTGTTTTTTTCACTCATTCATTCATCCATTCTTTCTTTCTTTGCTGATAGTGGAATCAATTGTCGCATTTCGTTTCCACCCTCAGCAAAATGACGTCATTTCAAAAGAAAAAGAAGAATTTAGACTGGATTACCTCGTTGAATCCTTTTTGGACAGGGACTCATTTTCTAATTGTCCCAAATAAGTGACTTTCTTCCGAGCCCATTGTAATTTTGGAGAAACTCACTTGCAACGGTTTTCTTGACGTGTCGTATAGAGCTTTTAATTCCCATCGTGCAGATCTGCTTAAAGAAAAGAAATTCCCAAACAAAACTCTCAAACAAAACTCCCAGTGCACTGTTCAAAAACCAAAAAAATAAAAATAAAAATACAGAAGCCCGGTCTTAGGACTTGTCTCAGAATATTCTTCCTCTATTAGGTGAAAACACACCAAATCTAAAACTTGGTGAAAAAGAAAAATACCTCAGCCAATTAAATCCCCAAAACTTTCATCAACCAACCAATGATCAGATTGAAATGATCAGTTTCTTCCTTTGTCCCCAGGTGTGTGCCACGGTAAAACCTTCCCCATACATCAGAAACAAAAAACAAAACAACATTATGTTGTAATAATTATGTTCTTGTACTCACACTAACTATCACATTATGTTCTGTTTTTCCCACTGTATAGAAGGAAAATATAAACTTCTGACATTTTTAGGATTTACAGCTTCAGAATTTGGGTTTCTCCATTATTGAACTAATTAAAATATTATTAAGTAAATTATTAAAATACAAAACTTTTATGCAGTTCATTTACATTTAGTCAGGAATTCAGATTGACCTACTGTACTAGACCCTCATCTAGGAATAATTTCTTGTGATCTGCAATTCATTTCTAGTTCACTTGGTAATGAGTTCAAACTGCATTTGTCCAAAAGTGCTGTTTTCGGCTTAAAACACATTTAAATACATATAAATATTAAAGCATTTGCTGAATACTTGTTTTGTTTGCTTATAGTTATTAAAACTAATTATGCTGAACATCAGTTGATAGCTAAGGGCACAATGCAATAAAATATATCATGTGCTATTTTTATATGCACAGTTTTCCCCAGCTCACTGGGGCTTTAGGGGTGACTGCACAGGTTTTGTCCAAATGCAGTAAATGTTCCTGTTACTTCTAAAAACTGTTTGGCTTAATGAAAAACGAATTAAAACTCTAAAAGTTCATTTACTGCAAAACTGGTGATTTTATTTTGGATCTGCCTGAAACCTCACTGTTGGCCACCTGAAATTCTTATATGCAGGAAAACTCCTGATATATTTAAATGTTATATATAAATTGCTGTATAAACGTCACAACTTTCCCATTTGAGATTGCAGTGGAGCTGTCATTTTGTATTGAAACAGTAGGGGGAAGCAGAGTGCTGTATTCACGTTCATTACATTTTAAAAACATAATTAAAAAAATGTTAAAAGGAAGAAATAATTTTTGTCAAATGTTAAAACTAAAGTATTTAATTTTCTTGAAATCATGAATTGCATTCCAGATGTAAGTGTTTTATAGTGTGTGAGATTTCTTTGTCAATCATGCTTGAGTGCTGCTGTATTTGTGCGGTTCTGAAGGAACAGACTCGGAGCCAAGGGTGGATTTCAGGCTGGACGAGAGCTCAGATGTTCCCATCCTGGAGGACCGATCCTCTTCTCCCATCGACTTTCCTCAGGAGCAGTGGCTGGTGGGAAATGATATTGAAAACATAGAGAGGTACACGCACTGCACTTGCTTTTAAATTTATATTCTGAAAATGTTTTACCAGTATAAACTCTGTTTTTGTCCAGGATTATCTAAACTACTCATAAAACACTGCTGGTTCTTTGTGTGCAGAGATATGCGAGAGATGCGAAATCTACTCAGCAAACTCAGGGAGACGATGCCCTTGCCACTGAAAAATCAAGGTATGTAATATTTGTTATAGGTAAAATATATGTAAGAGAGTTGATAAAGAAGAATGGAAATCAGAAAAGTCCTTAAAACGTTTCTCCAGAAGGCATTTGGTTTGTTTATGTGGGCAGCTGAAAATTTCAGAAGGTGGAGATTTTGGAACAGGGTCGCTTCTTATTTTGGTCGGCACCCTCTCAGTCCATGGTGATATAAAACTGGCTTCACTGTGGACAGTGACTCTGGTGTTCTAGCAAATTCCAGTTCATGATAGGTTTGAGCCTTGTTGGTTCCTGGGTTTTTTAAAAGTCATCAATGGTTAGATTTTCTAAAGCCTCCAATTAGAGTCCAGAGTAGGTGAAGAAGCCTAGTTCCCCCTCAGACCATTGGAATTACAATATAAAAAAAGTTTATTATGAATTGTGTTATTACTGGGGTCCAACATGTTGTCTACCAAAGCTTAAAAGTGAGACATCTTTGATTTTTGTGTTTGTTTGTTT